TCTTCCGATATAATTGAATTTTCTTCTCTAAAGGATACACAATTGAGCTCTCTAAATTTGTTATTAGATAATTCAACAACGGTCCTACAAAATTGGATTAGTACCATTCCTTTAAAGGAAAAACTAAAATTCTCGCCGTCTCTTTAAAAATATAAAATTTATTTGTTGTTACACTCAAGCAGATTTCAACTTGGCTGATGTCAAAGCGATATGAGAGAGGATTCTGTGCCCCACAAACATCAGAAAAGCTCCCAAAAGACCAACTGTTTTGAGTGTAGTGAACAGGTCCAGCTGCACACGAACGAAATTTAGATTAATATTTCAGAGGAATAAGTTGGAACAAACTGATAATATTGCCGTGCCAGAAGATAAATGGAATGAAAATGAACAGTGACCCAACAAAAACAGCTATGGATCAACATCACCAGCTCTGCCAGTTAAGCATGTTATCAGGGGGAGATAACGCTTCTGATTCATAATAAATTACTTTTACTCAACATGCATCAATAAACCACCACATGAGTGAACATACCTTCAACCAGAAGAGTACATAAAGTAACAAAACTGCGCCAATACCAACATGGAAAAGGATCGCAAATGTAGCAGGGACCGTTGAACCAGGGAAATTCTTTAGGTTCACCCCCAAACGCAATAACTGCGAATGACAAGAGAAAATAAAAACCATTGACTACATAAAGGAAGATAAGACCAAGTCAAAGGAAAATAAAGCAGCTACACAACATTGCTGTGCCAACACTGAATGCAAGTGGCAAAACAATCCCTCCATCTTTCAATACATATGAAGCAAGGTAAATATACTTATATATTATGAGTTAATTACCTATACACTGTCAGTGTAAAGTTCTTTTACACTGGCAACCAATTATATCTTTTAATTGTGCCATGTCACTATAAATACATTTACTTTTAACAATGACATGGCACAATTAAAAGATATAATTGGTTGGCAGTGTAAAAAAATTTTACACTAACAGTGTATAGGTGATTAACTCATATATTATTAGCACATGTAGTCCAAGCCTCTAGACTGACAATAACTTGAATGTCAGCAACCTTAAGTGATCAGACCAGGACACCATAGAAGCCTAATTTCATAGATACTATGCAAGTCTTGAAAGTTTTAAGCAGTGTCTAGTTTTAAGCAGCGTCTGACATATCTTGCATGATAAATTTTTACAAAAAATTATCCTCGATAAGTCATGACTCAAGCAAACACTGCTCTAAATTTGAAATGCTATTTTTTAGTGTTCCAAGCAGGTAAAGACCCTTTTCCCTTCGTAAACCATCTCCATTTCCCAAATCAGGGACATATCTCAATCAGAAAGAGTTCCAGAGGTAAAGTGAGAGATAGACCACTCAATTTGGGTCTCCATTATCCAACTCATATTATCCAATAGTGTTTTGTCCTAATTATTCAGTTGATATCACCCAATTTCCAAAAAATACATCTTTTTCACATTCAAGTGATCGTTGACTAAACTAATACAGATTACTATCATAAAAGCATATTTACCATAAAAATAAGTAAAATGTCTAGATAACCACATCACATTTTCTGTTTCCATTTCACTTATTTTTCTCATTATCTCCAGTGCCTTTTCTCTTAAATAGGAACAAGTAGATTTGTGCCACTCTCTAGAGGGAATTATAATGAAACTTACCCCAACCAAAAAGCCAATGAATGGCAAAAGGATTAAACCCAAGAAAGCAAGAGAGAGTTTTTGGTCTGGTCTCTTTTCAGGAGCCCTGAATATATGGGTAATCTCTGCTTTGGGCCCATATCTTGAGTAAGGGTCAACAGGAGGTGGTGGAGGGTGGGCTGCTTTCTCAGGTGCTTCTGGAAGATCTAATTCAACATGGCCAAGTAGCTGTAAGAAAGAGTTCTCCTGAAACGCAGTATTTTCACTCAGATTCACAGTAGACTATAGGGAGAGAAGGGGGGAAGAGGGGAAATTAATAATGGGGAGGTAGTGCGCAATACCATCGTAGCATCACCAACAGTAAGCTCAATGTCATATCTACCCGAGAGATAAAACAGTTTCTCCACCAGGCCAAGAAAATCCTACAAGTCAAAATAACAATGTAAGCAAAGCAAGAGAGAGAGAGAGAACCATAGGAGGAAAATGTGAATCAAAATAATGTTATAGTATTCCCTGATATAAAAGAAAAACAAAAAATGATAAGCAATTGTATTACAGCCAAGCTCAAAAGCAGTGTTAAAGCAGGTCAATAATTCCAAGTTAAAAGATAAAAAGAATCTTGCTGTTCCTTACCAGTGATTAAAGTTGCAATATGGTATAATCAGTAAATAATTTTTCATTTGATAATGCTCATCTCTTAATCTTCCTTTATATCGGAAAATATACATACCATAGAGATTAATTATGTGAATTCAACAGTATAATAGCTATTTATAATATAATGTAACAAACTGAACAAGTACTCAGGGAAAGACCTCAAAAACCCCAGACAATGAAATAATATTATAAGAGATACTTAACAAGAATTATCTCAAACTTCTTGCCAGTATTTCCAACCACAAAGACGTGTTCAACCTTTGTCTCATGTCTCAACTTGATAAATGCCTGCAGAAAAACAAAAACCTCAATAAACAGCATTTAAATAACATTCATTTGAAAGGTCTAGGAGGGCAGAGGCAACTGCAAACCTGATGAGGCTTAAAAACATGACCATGAGGTGTTGTCAATTGGAAAGACAACTTCAACTTCTGTAGGTGATTAGCTGAGAGTGAAACAACGTCATTTCCAGCCAAATCTAGCCTGGATAGGTAAAGCATAAATGAAAGTCGAAAATTAAAAAAAAAAAAAAAAAATCAAAAGCATACAAGAGTTACAAGTAGAAATGCAGCAGAAATATGAATCATATTTCAGTTAAGACTTCAAACACATGATAGAATGCGAATCAACTGACATACTGATCACAAAACAAAAGTATCCTAAATATCACCAAAGAAACTTACAAATAAGATATTAAACAAAAATAGAAACATACTTTTTCTGGGTTTCAGCACTTCCAATATTACTGTTTAGAACTGATATTTCTGCATTGCCGACTTCAATAATTCCAGTGACAAAAATTGGTACATGAATTTGGCCTCCGGTTGCATAAACATTTTCACTGCCACAATCATGAAGCACAATCTAAAAAATAGGGTAAAATGTTATCAATATACAAAGATACAAATATACCTTGATATAACTTAATTTAAAATAAAATAACTAAATTAAACAAACAGGAATACCTCAAAAACAAACACATATGTTTCCACATCCACATTCTTTGGAAAAGCATCCAAGAAATGAAATCCACTTTCTTGGTCATACTGGAGTTCCTGTGTCATGCAAAATAGAAGGTGCCAGAGATAAGAAAGAAACACAGGAAACTAAATGATTGCATCAGAGGGGGAAAAATATTCCCAAAGCCTCACCCCTCAAAAGAAATAATTGACTCATCACTCACCTTGCTGTCAATAATAGCAGAATCTTTTGCACCAGTACTAAAAGCACGGACAACCTTAACTGTTAAAGGTGGTACAGCTGAACCAAGCACTGTATTCACCTTAACCTAATTAATTTTGTAATACAAATTTGTCAGATATTCCCAACAGTAATGAAAAGTAGAGTAAAAATGTTAAAGTATTACACAATCACAAATCTAATACAACAACGAGGCCACAACAGAAAGTAAAGTTGTATGGTTGAGTGAAGCAGATTCTGCTGCAGACATTAATGTAGAAATGCATGCAGAAGAAACAAGCAGCAACAAATAGGGAATAATGCAACCAGAATGCAAGAGCATGTTAATCACTTTAAAGAAACTTTTGAAAATTCATGGGCTAATAATAGCAAAAGTACTGTCCTATCAAGACAAAAGATGCCTAATCTCAGAACTGTGAACAGCTTTTGTAAATTTTTCAGAGATTAAGACCATCAACAAGAAGATTATGGCAGGAATTGCGGAGAGAACTATAACTTACAGGATAGCTGAGACTCAAAATGGACTACAAGTCTACAGCCAAATAGCTACTAGGTCATCATTCACCAACTATTTCATACTTTCCTTTTGTCAGACAAAAATGTCAAATGACATGATAGGCATTTGGATTACCCCCACCAACAATTCATTATGTCCCAAATTCTACGAAAAACTAATTAAAAATTTATGACTAACAAAATAAGGATTCTAGACACATTAACTTAGTTACATTTACATACCTTAAGCTGGCCTTTCTTGGTCAATGAATAAACTGTTTCAGGGAGTGACAATATCAATGGAATGGAAATCCTACAACACAATAAGAAATCCACATTACATATTATCACTGGACATCATGAGGTCAAGTAATCAGCAAAGAAACAGGCAAAAAAAAAAAGGAAATATCTCCATAAAGCTGCAATTTAAAATAAGATTGTTCTTAGAAAAGCACTTGCCTGTTGCTCTCTAGAAAAGCTAACGACTCAACTTGGTTAAAGAAGTCCTTGGCATCTCCTGGGATTCCAACGCCCAGGAAAAATTTTGCCAAACCCAATATTTTATCCTCTGGAAGCTGGAAAATGCAAAGCCAAAACATTAACATTAAATGAATAGATTGAAAAAAATTAAATAGTATGTCCTTACATTCCACATACATTTATTTTTCCAGAAGTTACAGCAGCAAATGCAGTAACCCCTCTAACAACTGAAGAAGTTGTCGATAGAAAACCACGTTGCTCATTTCCACCAACAAATTTCTCATCAAAATAAAAGGTTTCATCGTCTGAAAAATGACAATAGGTTCACATAAGTCCCATATGATGAAGTATAAGGAATAAAGAATGGAGCTATGAACAAATAGGGATAAGTTTGATGAAACATGAAACATAAGGATAAATTTAGAATCTACCACTTACCAAAGAACAAATGCTATGAACAGACACAAGGGCTGCAAAACCCATGCTAGGGAGTTCTAAATTTAAAAATAAACATTTAACAGCAATCATTTTGAATAAGGTAAAAGCAAAGCTACAGATACCATATTTCTCAATGCCATCAAAAAGCTTTACTATGTCATTTTTCACTATATTGACCTGCCAATATGGAGCTAGTATAAGATACTGATAGAAGTGCCGAGACAAATTATGTCAGCAAGATTCATCAAAAGCTAGAAAATAACATATAACAAAGGCTTAAATAGATATTCAGCTAATTGCAGGCAGCAACACTAGCAAGTTTAACTTCAGTTTCATGATATGTCCCATAACATACTAACTATTTATGAATTATGATGCAAATAATTTCATACGCATGAATTTCTGGACAATGTATGAATATTATTACAAACTTTTAAAAAAACAGGCAACCAATATAAGGATCCAGAACTTTACCTTAGACTGATCAATTTCAGAAGATGCTAGTGAGATTACCCCAGCAAGAGCTTCAAGTGCTAATCCTGTGAAGTATATGATGAGATTAAATTGTTAGCATGGATAAAGATAAAATGCAGCTATTGCAATATTCCGAAGAATATCATGAAACTAGCTTCAGCAAAAAAAATATTGAGCATAATGGCATACAAGAGAGAAATTTAAGTATTAGATTTAGGGGAAAATTTAAGACAGTTTCTAAATGAAGAAGAGAATATTTTCGAGAGAATCTAGATAATGAAGGCAGTTTCTTATTCAGTCCTTCCATTATGCGAAATGGGAACTAATTCCAAGGGTAAGGGTAAATAAGTACCACTTCCTAAATACTAATTTCCGTAAATACTAAATGAATTTTAACACGTGATGCATGAACCCATTCGACATAAGATACACGAACTGCATGTGATTCTGAAAAATAAATTTCCATGCAAATTATTACCAGCAGCATAGGTACTGGACTCTGGATTATCAGAACTATACCGCCATCTTCCATCACTTTGACTGAGAGCCTGCCAACAATGAAGGACAAAAAATAAATGTGCAAATCTCAGTTTGAATTGCAATTGCAACAACATTAATTTGATGTGGGTTACAGGCCAGGGGGAACTAATAAGTAGAGTGAGGTTCTCATACTGAAGCCCCTATCATCTACAACAGATGAGGCCACAATAATAGTTACCAAGAAGTAAACCTAGTTCCCATCTTATTTAATAGAGAACACAACAGAACAGACCTTGATTGATTGAAAAACCCCATCAACATCAGCAAGAAGCACATCAACATTAGAATCCTGATCCTGTGTACAAGGAAGAAGGAGCATTCAAAAGTAGGTAAGAACCATAACACAATATAATATCATTTTTTTCTTGTTACAACAATAAAATACCACATTTACAACCCACAAGTCACAAAAAAAAAAAAAAAAAAAAAAAAAAAAAAAAAAAGTTTCACGTCCACTATTTAAAGAAAAATAACATTAGAAAATTAGGCATATTCAAAAACCATACAGATTGAATGAATAGGTATAAACTTCATCAACGAACCAATATTCCCTAACGAAACGACTCTAATAAAAAAAAAAAAAAAAAAGCCGTGCAAAGTAGCTGCTAGAGAATTACCTTCATAAGAACCAAACCTCCAATTGAGTAGTATATGTCAAGCAAAATACTTGCATCATGCACATTGGCTTTAAGTCTTGAAGCAATATCCTATACAAAATTAAAAATAATAATAAAATAAATACTAGCATTAATTTTCAGCTCACCGATAGAAATTTCATTAGCAGTCACACTCAAACTGCAACCAAATGATGATGATGATAATGACCACACAAAACACAATTACAAAAGTACCTCGAAACCCTCCCCGTTAACATTGCATTTTAATATTTTGTTAACTTTCAAGGCGTAGAACAAATCCTTGAGCGGGGAAGACGAGCCTAGATTCTCCAACACTTTCTCACACGTGGCGGTGCTCGAATGAGTCTTCTCTTCGATTCCAAGAATCTCAAAAACTCTAAGCGCCTCGTACGCGTCTTCTAAACTGATAACAGATCAAAGAGCGACAAATAGTTGACTTAAGCTACGCAGAACGCATAAAAATCTGAAGAAAGCGACATAAATCTAATAATCCTTTCACCCTGGGATCAGAACCAAACGCGGCGTTTTTAAGTTTTTTAGAAAATTAAATGGAATCAGCGAAAAAACAACGTAATGTGAGGGATCGCAATGCGAGGGAGTTTAATTAGGGTTTTGTGTGGACCTTGCGGAGGCAGGAGCGAAGAGGTGGACGGCGGCGGATCGGTGAGAATGAGAGACGGAGGTGGAGAAAGGGAGAAGAAGAAGCAGCAGAAATGTTGTTGCTGCTGCTACGTGTGTTGCCATGGTGGAGCAGCGATGAATCGAAACGAGAGAGAGTGATCCCAATTCAAAAGGGAAGGGATGACTTTCTTAATAACGAGAATGTAAAGGGTTATAGCAGTGGCATTTCCACGGATCCGGATATGGTAATTTAAAACATCTCAATCGTTAGATTTGTAATAATAGATCAGATTGTGACACGTGTACAAAATATATTTTAACTTAAATGTACACGTGTCACAATCTGATTTACTATTACAAATCCAATGGTTTAAATGTGTAAAGTTATCCTAACTTTTCCTCTCCAAAGTCAGGGAATCTATTTCCCATTTCCACTGGGTGGACTTTGGATTGTGTCTGTGTTGCTTTTTGTTGGCTTCAACCATTGCATCACATGATTTATTGTGGTTAAGCTAATAATATCAATTAGAGTATCTTCGGTGGGGTTGTTTATAAGCAATTTTTGTGTCACATCATTGTCATATTAACTCTAGTTTATTTTATAGGTTGTTTAAATTTTAGCAAAATTGTTTTTTACTAAAATTTAAGTAACCCATAAAGTAGACCAGAGCTATGTAACAGTGACGTGGGGATTGCTTATAAGTAGTCCCCATTAAAGATGTTCTTAGATTTATATTAAAAATATTCAAGGATCGAGATGATTGCTTAGTGTTTACAAATTACAACATTTTAAATCAGTTTTTTAATTTTTTATTTTGAGGTTAAATAATTTTGACCCAATTTTTTAAAATAATTACATTGTGGCAAAACAGATGTTGTATTAGATGTATGAAGTGAAATAAGAAAGATATAAAATATGATGGAAACCTAAGAGTACACGAGAGTTTGTTGCTGAATGAAAGGGAAAAATAGATTGTTTGACACTTACTTTTTAATGTCTTTGTTGTAGTTTTGGTAAGTGTCGTCGGTGTTAGACATAATAATTATGTCAATTAGTTTATCTTTGATTAGTACATAATCAAATAGAAAGAGTTTGATGGGCATTAGAGGCCATAAAGGGGCAAATACAAACTGGTATTTGCACACTCTTGTAGGACAATGTCCTTACATCTTCCATACGATTCGGTACTCACTAATGTTAACACTTTGAAGAAGTTAATCAAGAAAGGGATATCACAATTCTTAGACCTAAGATTTGGTTTTCCTTGCAGAGAAAAATTCCATGGTGCATGAAAGCTATTTTGATGATTTGATCAAAGCAATGGAGGGGAAGGTCACTCCAACTACTTGGTAGATAGATTATGTGAGAAATGCCTTTTACACTTTTAAAATAAATAAAAGGGTTGTAGTGAGCAACATTTATGATCTTCATTCTCATTTTTTATCTCCCAAAAACCTACAACAACATGTTATGTTCTCATATGGTTAATACTTGTTTTACAATTAATAATATATTTTTTATTTCTTATGTTATTTATTAAAGGCATTCATGTCAATTCACATTTTTTAAAAATTACCTACATACAAGAAAAAATAATTAAATAAAACATAATATATCTAATATATTAAGTAGGTCTATCGTATACCATATGCACTAATGGTCCATCACAACATTCACCTTAACTCCATTATTTCTAGTTTACATTTTTCTTTTTCAATTTATTTTCTCAAGAAAAAAATTTCATATGACTTCTTAACCTTAAAGGTGATATTTGGATTGATGGAAAGTGATGACAAATGAAGAAATATAACCAAAAGGTATTAATTCAAATTGTTTGACATTTGTGCTCATTAACCAAGGATTAGGGTTCGATTCTTAACTTGGGCAAAGAGTCACGACTTGAGGTATCACTTTACCTTTGTACTAACCCAGTGAGAAAAAATTATACCTATTAAACAAAAAAAAGGATGGAATGTAATATAATTTTAGTATGTTTCATTATTTGAAATTTGGATTTGTTAAATTAGAATAAAATGAAATTGTCCATAATGAAACCCGTTTGTTGTCTTTTAATTTAAGGTTATACGCCATAATTAAGTTAATCTTTTTTATCATAATAAGTATACATAATTAAGTGTTAATTTTATTTTAATAAATCTTGTTTTAAGAGTCTCAAACTTGATAAAAAGTAATTGATGAAGCTCCATGTGTTACAAGTCAATCTACACATTGTTTGACTTTTTTGTATGCGTGCCTAAAAGAAATGTTCCATTCCCTAGTAGTCAATTCTTTGATACAACTAAGAAAAGAATGGTGAAGATGAAAAACAAGCATTGCATTATTGATGAGGTAGATCAAAGAAATGGAGTCAGTTTTGCAAATGATGTTCCTATAACCAAGGTCCTAATTTTTCTTTAAACCTTGGTAAATAGCATACAACTTAACATAAATGTTTATAGCATAGCCACTAGTTCTTGAAAAGACTTTGATCCACTAGCCACAATCATCTTATAAAACTACTCCAAAGCCTAAATTTCCTAGACTCTTGAAGGAGATCTTATCCATGTTGATTTTGACAAACCCTTGTGGGAGAAAGAGCCATTTGATGTGAATACTTTGTCAAGTAGCTGAAGAAGAAACCAAAGTTTTTATGATATCTTGATGAAGCTTATAGATCTAGTTGTTGGTAAACTAGAATGTCCATTTGTTGTCCTAAAAAATTGATGTTTTTCTTGACTTTCAAAGACTCCAACTAATTGTCGCAAACATAGCACCATCCTTTGCGATTGAAAACAATTTGATTCACTTCCTAAAATCATCTTGAATGAAATTCGACATAGATGAAAAACTCCTTTTGTCCCAAATTTGGGAGGAAAAAAGATAATCTCTTAGTAGATGAAGAAATTTTTCTTAAGGAACACCATACCTGTAATAAGAAGGGTCGAAGGAAAAATGATGAAAATAAAGAAAGTCATTAGTAAGAATGCTTCCAAATAGAATGAGCCAAAAGAAGAATTTTATATTTTTTGAAATATTCAAAGACCACACACCCAATTGTAGGAGTTGTAACAGGTATTTTGAGTAGACTCATCAATGGAAAGACATTGTGACGCATATTTAGCATCGTAACCACGACCATTAGAAGGCCCCCAAGCCATAACACCCTCAACATTCTCATTTAGAAACAAATGTTGCAAAAGTTGATGTAATTGATGAGAAATAATGGAAGCTAATAATACCTACCAAGTTCCATTAACAAAAACATTTTTCACCTTCAAATCCACGACTAGGTAATTGACAAAGGAAGCTCATGACAAATAGGACCTTAAGAATCCACCTATCATACCAAAAGGAAACATCCCCGTGACTGGTACTATAAATGAAGCCACCTTCAAGGACATCTTTTGCTTTCATTATAGAATTCCAAGTGTAGGAACCTCCCCAAAATGCGTGCATGTGAAGAATATTTAAGCCATAAGTTATTTGTCATCAAGAAGCCAAACCTAAAGTTTGTCCTCATTATGCATAAGAGACCGAACATGCAAACTCAAAAAAGAGACATTGATATCCCAAGCTTTTCTCAAACCTAATTCCCCTAAAGATTTTGGTTTAGTTACCATTACCAATCAACCCAACAAAGGAGATCTCCAAAGGAAGGATATAAAATGAGCATCAATATTATCACATACTCCTTTAAAAATTCAAATGTTTTGCATGGTGTATGCAGGAACAACTTCCAACATTGATTTTGCTAAAATGGCTTTTCCATATTGTGTAATTTGCTTTTACACCCAATCAATCTTTCTTGAATTTTATCAATAAAAAGTTGAAGTCCCTTTTCTTAACTCTGTTAGTTAAAATAGGGAAATCAAGATATTTATCAATACGACTTGTGAGACCAAACTCCAAGATAGATTTAAAAGCCTCAATCTTATCCCTGGAAACATGGATGTAAAGAATCTAAATTTCCAAAGATTAATTTTGAAACCAGAAACTCTACAAAACATATTGAGGACTTAATAAGGAAGCCTAATGTAGTGGCTTTAGTGAATAACAAACAATAAAAAAAATGAGAAACTTGGGGTCCCGAGCTAAAAAGAGACATAAGTTTCCACTAATCAGCTTGAACTTTTTTTTTTTGAATAAAAATGCAAATTTCTTCATATAAAGAATGACAAGGCAAGGACACATTGGATCCCCTTACCTCAATGCCCTTATTAGGGAGAAACCATCAAGGATTTCACTATTTCATTTGAGTGAGTGAGTGAGTGAGAGAGAAAGAGAGAATAAATGGTTATGCAACTCATAATCAAGTCAATAATTTTATGGGGAAACCAAACCTGATCAAAGTAAGCTTAAGGATGCCCCAATCAACCTTATCATATAGGTTTTAGAAAGTCAATTTTGTATAATAGATAACATGTTTTACCTTTCTTCATGTTCATATGATGAGAAATCTCTTGAGCAATGATAGTGTTATCCATGATAAGGGTTGCAAAGTGGGCTAGGCAACAAATTGGTAAGGCAAGGTAGGCATGTCAACTTGCCAACTTGTCAGGCCAAATGGTGGGGTGGGTTAGATTGGTTCATGAGCCCATTTTAGTTTTAAATATTTTTTTTTGTAACTTATAGTGTGTGTGTGTGTGTGGAGGTTAGGGTTCCCAAATTCAACCCCAAAGGTTCTCATTTTTAAAAAAAGTGGAGGAGACTTCTTTCAAAGGTGCATCTAATTTTCTTGAAGTAAAAGATGAAATAGTGATTTGTATTTTTATCATTTTATGACATTATAGTTTCAGTTATGTTTACCTAGTGAACTTTGTAGACTTTATATTATGATATAGTCCTATTATTGAAAGACTATTATTAATTGTGTTGTGGTTTAGTTTTAGTGAGACAACTTGCTCTTGAGTGGGACTGACCAAGATTTTTAGTCCACTTTCAGAAAATGGGCCAACTTACCTTACCCACCCCATTTTTCATGGGTTGGTGGCGTGGTGGGTCAATGTGGGACGGATTGGTCCGTTTTTTCACCCCTAATCCATAGGGTCATGTGTAACATTGCGTGTTTTAATGCTTTATTACATGATAATATGATATATGTTGTTATCTATGATGTTATATAGTTGTTTTTAGAATTCTAAGGGTCAAAGTATCCTTGAGAGTTAAGTTATTTAGAGTTGCTTAAGTTGAGGTCAAAGTGAGCTTTTGGCCACCCAAC